TAAAAGTAAGTCTCTCCTCTTTCATCTACTTTGAAATGGGCTGAACTTGACTGCTGACTAGACAGGTCCTCTCCGATCGTGGCTGATCAGTGGCCACCTCGCAGTCACCTCGGTCGTCTGATCCCCTGCAGACCCGACTCAGTTCCGTCTGTGCCTCGGGTGACAGGCTGCTGCTGGTGTGGGGACAGTGCGGGCAGGGCGTGGGCAGCGAGCGCTCCGGTGGCGAGCACTGAGCAGACTCAGGTCTCCGGTCACTACTGCCGCCTCGGCCGGGGACAGCCGGGCGGGGGGGGGGGGGGTGGCATCATCTGAAACTGCGGCCGACGAGGGAGAGGAGCCTTGGGCCGCGGGCAAGGCTCCCTGGGTCCTTCTGAGGCTGCGTGCGGGGCAGCAGGCACCCTCCGCTCTGCCGGCCTCCCCTGAAGGCACGTTTTCATTGATCTGAGAGAAAGATCCGTGTGAGAGAGAAATACTGATCACTTGCCTCCTGTACGCACTTCAAGCGGGGATCGAACCTGCAAAATCTGGTGTACAGGGACGGTGCTCCTGCTAACGAAGCCAGCCAGGGCTCCGCCCGGCCTGGTCTGGTAGGCAGAGTCCCGGACCCCTGGTTCAGTCGCCCGGACAACTCAGCTCGCAGTCGGAACACTGGTCCCACCTAGTGTGTGTCCCCCTGAGGCCCTGGGCGTTGTCCGGGCCAGTCACCGTGGGCCCTGCAGCCTCCCTGCCTCCCTGCCTCCCTCCCTGCCTCCCTCCCTCCCTGGGGCAGGAGAAAACGCAGAGCTGGCTGGGCCTCCTGGGAACAGCAGCGCGCGCACCGGGTCACCGGCTTTGAATTCTCTGCCACTTCTGAGCCGCCTTCAAACTGCATCCTTATCCTCATTCTCCGCAGTTCACACTTGTCACTGGAAAGAGGGCCTGTCCCTCAGGTCCTGTGACAGGGAGAAAGCAGACGCATCCGTTGGTGGCACACCAGTGGCCACTGGGCAGAGCCTCCTCCCTGCATTTGCATCCAGCGCGTTTCCATTTCCAAGGAGCCCCCACTGCAGTGAAGTCTGGAAATGTGTGTAAATGTCGGAGGGGAGGAGGAGGGCTGTCCTAATGCCAGGCTTTCCCCGCAGTGTGGGCCGCAGAGCCAGGAAAATCAGTCTGGGAAGTGCAGTGAGAATATATACGTACATATTTTTGCTATCGGGACACAAAAGAAAGATGACATTTCTCCTGCCTTCCACGGACCCGAATGTGTTTGGGTCACTGACGTCTGTGAGACGGGCAGAGACGGCAGTAAGGGGCCAAGGACACCTGCCACGCAGCTGTTCTCAGGCAGGCGGGCGCTCGAGGCCGCAGCCCCGTGCCCGAGACAGGGAAGTTAGGCAGTGTGCTCAGACCCCAGCGTCACCGGCACAGCCGTGGCTGGGACCCAGGGCTCTGGCTCCGAGGCCAGGGCTCTCCCCGGTGTGCCTTGTGTCGTGCTTGTCCCTTGACGGTTGGCGTCCCCCCGGCCCCTGTTCCCTGGGCTCACAGCCTCCCTGGTCTCTCTCTCACTCCCCAGTCCTATGATCGCCTCCTGCCTTCCCAGAACTCCAGGTGTGCGCCTGCACCTCTTTCCCAGGTACCTCCTCCTGGTGTCTCACAGCAGCCTCGACATTTCCAAAACAGTTTGTCTTTACTTCTGGGTGCTGCTCCTTACCCCACTGAGACCCCCTTCCCACATTTTTATGGTGAATGGCCCTCCCGCCTATGAAACGTCCACACCACCAGCCTGCCGTCTCTGCTTCCTTCCTCCCTCTGTCCAACCCTCCTCCACCGCCCCGCCCCCGACACACACACAGCGCTGCCTGTCCTGTCTGCGCCTCTAGGACTTTGACTGAACCCACCTTCCCTTGCTGCTTTGGCATCGTGGTCTCTGGCCTCTTTCTTGCCCCCAGTCCCCCAAGTCTGCTCCCGGTAGCACAGCCAGAGGGATGTTGGTAGAACACAAGTCTCAAGTCTCAGGCTGTCTCGCCACTCGCATGGCCTCCCACTGTCTTCCTTTCCCTCTGTTCCCTGCATCTGGGACCCTTCTCGCCTCACCCCACCCCACCCCCGTCATGCCTCCTTGCCAGCTCAGTTCTGGACTCCCTCGGGCCTGTGCTGAGGTGTCGCTCCTCAGGCAGGCACTTCCCCACGCTCTTGCTGGTACCCCTGCCCCTCCCCGTGCAGGACCTCCTCGTGCACTGTCGTGGTCCAGCGCTCGTCTGAGCCTGGCTGTGGGCATCCCACCAAGACGAAGCTGCCTGGACCCCACTGTGTCTGTGGGGACTTTCCTACTGTCCAGCAAAGGCTGAGGGTGACAGTACAAGGGAGCCGGAAATGACAAGTGTCTGGAAGCTGTGGAAGGGTGTGGTTCGTATGTGGGTGGGCGCTGTCCCAGCCTGTGGTCCCGCCAGTCATCCTGTGCTCTCAGGAGCGTCCTGTGATCGGACATGGAGATGGCAGTTAGTGTGCTGTCTGACCTTGGCTGTCAGGTTGGCGGGGAGGGAGCTGTCTTAGCTGAAGGCAGTGTGGTAGAATGACTGATACCAGGGGCCCAGGAGTGATTCCCTGGGGTTCAGGTCTGGGCTTATTAGGTACTTGCGTTGCCCCGGCTTCCCCATCTGTGAATCGGAGTGGCAACAGCCCCATAAGGAAGATCCGTGCGTGCGCCGTGTCCACAGCGGGGCTTGGCCCCTCGTCATGCTGTGCGGGTGTCAGACAGAGGCCAAGGTGGCCCCTACCTTCTCTTCTCCCCCTTGTCGTCATGGGCTTCATTTTCCTTTGGGGACAGGTAGTTAGCATGGTCGTCTGAGCTTAGCCGCTCTGAGGATCTGTGTCCGCACAGCGAAGGAGGCGTTAGGAAAGGCAGGTCTGCGCGGGGAGGAGAGGCTGTGAGTGAGCAGTGCCCGGCACACGGCAGGCGCCCCCAAGTGGCACTGAGCATCGTTCCACCTGCCGGCCAGGATGAGGTGCCCCAGTAGACGCAGGTCCTGGTTCTGACAGGGCCGTGTGGTGGGCATGGTGGGTTGGCGGGGACCAGGGGTTAAGGCGTGTCACATACGGCCTGCTCAGTCTTGTGTATGGGGGGCAACATTTCCGGTAAAATGTTGGTGCAGCTGTTGATGGGGTGAGCACTTCAGATAATGCCTTGATTCCCACGTGGAGAAAACAAGACCAAAGTCATGGGCCCCCCCTGAGCAAGGTGTGCTTGTGAACTTTTTCAAGTACCAGGTTAAATGCTTTGGTCCATTAGGTAATGTATGTTGTAAGCCAAGTGCCTACAAACAGAAGGTATGAGCCACAAAGTGTTACAAGATAAAAGTTGATAATGCTTCATTAAAAACCTACACAGTGAGATGCTGGCATCTTCCGTACTTGCTCAGTGTCAGATTCCCACGTTTCCTAATATCACAGGGCAGCTAGTAGGTGCGATTCTCTCCCTCCACGCGGTTGCCAAGATTGCCACAAAATCATCGTGAAAGTACATTGGAAGTTTATTTATAACCATATAATCTCAAAAGCCAAATCATAAATATTTTTTATGTTTTTTTGCAGCCAAAAATTTTAATCGGGTTGCAGATGAATTTTAATGCTGTTGTTGTGATGTAGGATAGGATCTTCAAATGTCTCAGAACTTGGGTGCTCAAAGGCCTGAGCACGGCCTTGTGATGGGCGGGTCTAGGACCAGGGGTCCCTCTCCCCAGCCCCTGGTCTGCAGTGGAGTTGGGGCGCAGAGGGTGCCCACCGGGCATTTCCTTGTGGCCCTGACGGGGGACCCTGCCACATCACGTCACTGCAGGAGCCGCTGCAGAAGAGGCTGGTCCCCAGAGTGCGGAAGCCTAGGCCCAGTTCCTCTTCCTCTGCTGGACCTTTCAAGTAAAAACGCAGATTATGGGCAGAGCCGGCTGCCTCCGGGGATAATGTGTGGTCTGGCTGGCCCGAGAGTTTCCTGCTTGCAGCTTTCACTTTCCCTTTTCAAGAGCCCCAGAGTCTCCAGGGTTCAACTCAGGAACCACACGAGGTCCCTGCTGGTCAGGAAGAATGCTCGTGGAATACCCCAGGTGGCTCGGGCCGGGTCTGCCTGGGGATGTCGTCTCGCAGTAGGCCAGCCGCTCTGGAAGCATCTGTCCGCCCAGGGGGACGGGCAGTGGACAGTCCTGGGCTCACAGAACTCCGTGTGGGTAAATTACCACCCACGGGGTATTTCGGATTTGGGTTCTATACAGAAACTCTTCTCATCTTACAGGAATCAGATTCCAAGTGATTGAAAAACACATTTAGCTCTGTGGCCATGTAGTTGTTACTTAGTTTGATTTAATGTTGATAGATTAGAGTAAATTGTTTGCGCAGACGAGCTGAATAAATTCTGCCAGAGCTTCTGTCTTCTTCTGGTTTCACATTAAGCCCTTAATTTGCAGCTCTGTTCCATTGGCAGTCCTATTAGAGTAAGCCCTGGGAAGAGCTCTGTGGGTCTTTCCCCCTCCCTCCACTGATTTGTTATTCTCCGGAATGAAACAAATCATTTAACAGCCTCTGAGGAAGGCCATGAGGGACCATCTGGTCCTGGGGTATCCTTAAACCACCTACGATGCCCAGAGAGCTGTCCTGATCTTCATGGCTTTAGGTTAAGCACTATTAAACTCCTGTATTTAACCCACTTTCCCTGTCTCCCTTCCCCAGTCTCACAAATCCTCAAAGCCCTGGGAGTTGCCAGAGCATTTCTTTCCGGAAGGTACACAGTGCAGTTGTAACGTGAAGAGGGAAATGCAAACCCTCCCCTAGAAGAAGCCATCCCCAACTTCTCTCCCCTTGCATCTCTGCCACCTGAGAAGTTCGCAGAGGCAGGTCCCAGAGATGGGAATTCTCTGTCACTCATCCTTGCGTCCTCGGGGCTCTTGGGCACCTGAGACTCAGTGTTTGTTGAACTGATGAATGAAAGCCCACTTGAAGATCCAGTCAACTCACTTGGTGTCTCTGTCCCCCAGGAGGACTGGAACGAGATCGACCCGATTCAAAAGAAAGACCTGCACCACAGCCACGGGGACGAGAAAGCACAGAGCGTGGAGACCCTCCCTCCAGGTACGACGGCCGCCGGCAGGCACTGGTTCTGTCCTGAGCTGGGGGCTGGTGGTAGGGAGTCCTGTCCACCAACTGTGGACGAGCTCGATGTGGCGTTTGGACAATGGGGTGGAGAATGGACGTCATAGGGCGGGTGGGACAGTGTCCGAGAGCAGTGTTCTGCTGACATCCTTTGGGTGGTGACGTAAGTTTACTGGGAGGTGACCAAAATTTGTTGAGAGAAAAAGTAGAATGAAATAGAAAATACAAGATGGTATGTATCAGTTCACAGGTTTTTTTTTAAGAGACTTTATTTTTTAGAGCAGTTTTAGGTTCACAGCAAAATTGAGCAGAAAATACAGAAACTTCATCCTCCCCATCATCCCCCACCAGACGGGTGCATTTGTTCAGGGCGAACCAGCATTGCTGCATCTCGATCACCCGAAGCCCATGGTTTACACTGGGGCTCACCCTTGCTGCTGTGTGATCAGGGGCAGGGACCCACCATTCTAGTCTCATCCAGAACAGCTTCACTGCTCTAGAAACCCTCCGTGCCCCGCCTGTTCACTCCTCCCCCCATCCTGCTGACCACCAGTCCTTTCACTGTCTCCGTGTTCTTTCCTTTTCCAGAAAGCCCTGTGGTTGGAACCACACAGTATGTGCAGCCTTTTCAGACTGGCTTCTCTCACTCAGCAATCTGCTCGGAAGGTTCCTTTGTGTCTATTCATGGCCAGGTAGCCTGTTTCGTTTATCACCAAATAGTACTGTATGGTCTGGTGTTCCACAATTTATTTATCCGTTCACCAACTCAAGGACACCTGATGGGTTGCTTCCGAGCTTTGGCAGTTGTGGGTAAAGCTGCTGTACACATCTGTGTGCTGGTTTCGGTGTGGACACAAGTTTTCGGTTCATTTGGGTGAACGCCAGGGAGTGCACAGCCGGAACGCGTAGTAGGGATATGTTCATTTTTGTAAGAAAGCACCAGACTGTCTTGGGAAAGTGGCTGCACTGTTCGCATTCCCACAGCAGGGAGTGAGAGCGCCCCTCGCTGCAGGTGCTGGGCAGCCCTGGCGTTAGCAGTGGTTTTGACCTTGGCCATTCTGACAGGCTAGAAACAGTGGTGTAGCTCACTGTTCTCGTTTGAATTTCCCCGATGACATAGGATGTGCAGCATCTTTTCATGTGTCTGTTTGCCGTGTGTGTCTTCTTTGGAAAGGTGTCTTTTCAGGCCTTGGCCCATTTCATAATCGGGTTGTTTACCTTCACACTGTTGAGTTTTAACAGTTCTGTGTATATTTTGGGTAGCAGCTCCTTATCAGATACATTTTTTGCAAATATGTTCTTTCAGTCTGTGGCCTATGTTCTCATTCTCCTGACAGTGTCTTTCCCAGAGCATAACATTTTTTAATTTATTTAAAAGATTTTGTGTGTTTATTTTTAGAGAGAAGGGAAGGGAGGGAGAAAGGGAGAGAAACATTAATCACTTGCCTCTCACACACACCCAACTGGGGAGCTGGCCCACAACCCAGGCATGTGCCCAGACCGGAATCGAACCAGTGACCTTTCGGTTCACAGGCTAGTGCTCATTCCACTGAGCCACACCTGCCAGGGCTAAAATTTTAATTTTAATTAAGTTCAGCTTATCAGTTCTTTCATGGATCTTGCCTTTGATCCTATGTTTAAAAACTGATCCTGATAACCAAGGTCCCCTATATTTTTCCCTTTGTTATCTTCTAGGAGTTTTACAATTTCACGTTCCATAGTTTTAGGTCTGTGATCTTTTTTAGTTGGTTTTTGAGACAAGTATAAGGTCTGTTTCTGCATTCTGAGTTTTGTTTTAGTTTTTTGCTTCTGGTGGGGCTTTTTTTTTTTTGCATGTGGACATTCACTCATTTCAGTATCGTTTGTTGAAAAGACTGTCTTTGCTCCTTTGACAAGGATCTGTTGACTCTCTTTATGGGAGTCTGTGTCTGGGCCCTCTGCCCTAGCCCAGATTTATTTTTCTCTTTCCCCAGTATTGCACTGTTTTGATTACTCTGCCTTCCCATTAAGTCTTAAAGTTGGGGAGTGCTGTCCTCCCCCTTCATCCTTCCCCTTCAGTGTCGTGTTGGCTGTTCCAGGTTCTTCGCCTTTTCTGTATGAACTTGAGCATCAGCAGTTTGATACCCACAAAATCACTTACTGGGCTTTTGGTTTGGATTGTGTTGAATCTAAAGATTAAGCTGGCAAGAACTAACATCTTGACAATATCGAGTCTTTAATATCACTCCATTTATTTAGTTCTTTTACAGTTTTTTTTTATCAGTTTTACAATTTTGCTCATAAAAATTCTATGCCTATTTTGTTTGATTTATACCAAAGTATCTCATTTGGGGGGATGCTAATGGTGTTGTGTGTCTAATTTCAAAATCCACTTGTTCATTGTTGGTATATAGGAAAGCAATTGACTTTTATGTAAAAACCTTGTTTCCTTTAATGTTGTCATAATTACTTATTGGTTCCAGGAGTTTTTTTGTTGATTTCTTCAGGTTTTCTACATGAACAATCATGTCATCTGTGACCAAAGACAGTTTACTTCTTTCTTCTCCATCTGTGTTATACCTTGGCTTTTCTTGTCTTACTGCATGGGCTAGTACTTCTAGTGCAAGGTGGAGAAGGGGTGCTGGGAGAGGTCCTCCTTGCCTGGTTCCTGATCAAAGCTCTAGTTTGCACCATTAGCTATGATGTTGACTGTAGGTATAGATGTTTTTTATCAACTTGAAGATGTTTCTTCTCTGTTTCTGGTTTCTGAGAGTTTTTATTAGGAATGGGTGTTGGATTTTGTCAAATGCTTTATCTATATATATGAATATGATGGATTCTATTCATTGATTTTCATTTGTTGAACAAGCCTTGCATACCTGCGATATTCCTACTTGGTCATGGTATATAGTTATTTGTATATATTGTTGAATTTTACTTGCCAATATTTGGTTGAAGATTTTTGCATCTATATTCATAACACGTATTGGTTGTAGTTTTTTTTTAAGTGATAAAAAAAAGACTCGATTTATTTCTGAAGTTTTGTTTTCTTGTAATGTCTTTGTCTTGTTCTATTTTAGGGTAATGCTGGCCTCATAGAGTGAGCTAGGAAGTATTCCCTCTGCTTCTATCTTCTGGAAAAAATTGTAGAGAATTAGTGTAATTTCTTCCTTAAATGTTTGGTAGAATTCACCAATGAACCCATCTGGGCCTAGTGCTTTCTGTTTGGAAAGTTAGTAAGTATTGACCCAATTTCTTTAATAGATTCAGCCCTATTGAAATAATCTATTTGAGCTTGCTGAGTTATGGTAAATTCTGTTCGTTCATCTAGGTTACCCAGTTTAGGCAGAGAGTGATCATCCTGTTTCTTTATTCTCCTATGGACTCTCCAGAGTCCATAGGCTCTGTCGCAATTCCTTATTTCACTTCTGGTATTTGTAATTTGCGTCCTTTCTGTTCGTAGTCTGCCTGGCGGCTTCTTGATTTTATCGATCTTTTCAATGAGCTTTTTTTTTCTATTTTGTTTTATCTGTTTCTTACCTATCTGCTCTCATTTTTATTATTTCTTTTCTTCGGCTTACTTGGAATTTAATCTGCTCTTCTTCTACTCCCTGAGGTGGACGTGGATGTTTGATTTTAGATCTATCTTCTGTTCTTATTCTCAAGTCAGTCAGTTTTTCTCCGAGCCCTGCTTTCACTGAGTGAATTACACACATTTTGATAAGTTGTATTTTTATCTATGTTTAGTTCAAAATGTCATCTTATTTCACTTGAGATTTGTTCCTTGACCCTTGTATTATTTAGAAGTATGTTGTTTCATCTCTGTGAGACATTTTGGGATTTTCCAGCCGTCTTTCTGTTATTTATGTATAGTTTCACTGTAGTCTGAGAGTGGATATTATATGATTTGTGTTCATTTAAATTTGTTACGGTGTGTTTTACCGTCCGGAATGTGGTCCCTTTTGGTGAACGTTCCATGTGAGCCTGAGAAGGATGTGTCTCTGCTCTTGTTGGATGCGGTAGACTATAGATGCCATTACACCCGGTTGATTGATGGTGGTCTTGAGTTCCATTATGCTTTCCTGAGTGTCTTGCCTTCTGGATCTGTGTATTTCTACTAGGGGAGTGTTGAAATCTCCAGCTACGATGGCGGCTTCGTCTGTTTTTCCTTGCAGTTCTTCTAGTTTTGTCTCACGTATTTTGCTGCTCTGTTGTTTAGGTGGGTGCACAATAAAGATCATTATGTCCTCTTGGAGAAATGCCCTTTCTGTCCCTACTCATTGCCCTCCTTCATCCCCGATAACTCTTCTTGATCTGAAGTCGCTCTGAAATGTATATAGCTGTCCTGTTGTCTTTTGATTAGCATTGGAGTGGTGTCTCTTGCTTCATCTCTTTACTTTTAGTCTGTATTTGTCTTTATGTTTAAAGGATGTTTCTGATAGACAACGAAGTCAGTCAGGTCTTTCGTGTCGTTTTGTTTTGATCCTCTGACAGCCCCTGTCTTTTAATTGGTGTATTTGGACCAGTGACATTTGAAGTGATTATTGATATAGTTGCAGCAATATCTAATATATTTGTTATTCTTTTCTACTTCTTGCCCTTGTTCTCTGTTCTTTTTTATGTCTGTGTTTTTCTGCCTTGTGTAGTTTTAATTGACTATTTTGTATGATTTAATTTTTCTCTCTTCTTTTTTTACTTTTTTTAGTGGTTGCCCTAGAGTTTACAATATACATTTAGAACTAACCCAATTCTAACTTCAAGTAACAAACACTATCTTGCTTCACAGTACAAGTATCTCATTACAAAATACAGTGAATTCCCCCCCCCATCATCTGCACCATTGCTGGCGTTCACTGGACAGATACATACGCATCATAGTATGTATGGACACACATGGCCAAGTATGCTTTGCCGCTCTTTTGAACAAGCTGCTGTTAGAACAATTAAGAATAAGAACAAAGTTATTATTCTGCCTTCATTTATTTGCTGATGTTCTTACT